TGTGCAATAAGACATGCTTCTGCAGGGTGAAGGCCAGTCCATTGTATGTTTACAAAATGAACTCATTCTGTGTGTGAATTACAGATTAGTAACTTAGTAATTGCATTTTTTTGTGATTACATTTATTGTTTACAAATGCCTTATAGGACAACAGATAGACATTAGCCTCTGGTTGTAATCTGGCAGGTTTGTAATCCTGCTTTGTCACATCCCAAACTAAATCTAACAATACACTAATGTCTATTTTTGTGGATAGAAAGTGAAGTACCGGGGCTTTAAACTGTCATGTGTGAAGATATTGAACCCAAAGTGCAGACCAGTAAAAAATAATGGCTTTAATCAAATGTGAAACAAAACTAAATCCAGAGTAAACACAAAAAGGAACCAAACAGGGACTGACGAAAGGAACTAAAACAAACGTGGGAGGACAATGACGGAACAAGGGATGAAGGAATAGAATGTTCCATTTCAATTTTAATGTACTTGTTTATTCCAAAAACCAGCATGAACATAATTTTTGACAATTAGAATGATACAATATATTACAATATACAAGGTTTGGAATACAGTGTTTAGATACACGACTAACGACACACAGGTGATACACATGTGGGCGGGGCAGGTCATCAGGAAACACGAAGTACAGAGGGGATAACAAATTACAAAAGAAAACAGGAAATGAACCTAAAACAAAGACATAAATATTGCAAATCCAACACATGTAATAATCACAACACTTCAGGCTCAATAATTGTCAATTGGGGCGGCACGGTGGCTGAGTGGATAGCTCGCCTCTCAGCAAGAAGGTTCTGGGTTCGAATCCCGGTCGGAACGGGGTCTGTCTGAGTGGAGTTTGCATGTTCTCCCTGTGCTTGCGTAGGTTTCCTCCGGGTACTCGAGTTTCCCCTACCACTAAAAACATGCACACTAGGTAAAATCCTCCAGCCCCGGTAGTCCTGACCAAGCTGAGCATCAACATCTGGAGATGGGTTCCCGGGCGCTGTTACTATGGCGACCACTGCTCCTGACGTAAGCCTTAGCGGCATCAAGATGGGTCAAATGCAGAAGATGAATTTCCCTACGGGGATTAATAAAGTGCACCTTTACCTTTAAAATCATATTTTTTTGTATTTACATCAGTATGTGAACAATCTATTTGACATTTGTATCCAGTATGACACACAACACCAAATACCAGACTAAAAGTTTGAAGTTTTGCCGTGACATAACCAGGCTCAGGTGAATGAGCTGAGCCTTGGTGCACAGTGACTGATGCACACTCTCTGTCCGCTGGTTTCATTATGAGTTGACGACAGACAAAGTGCTCTCTTTATTTGGACATCAGCCTCTGTCATGTGGTATGTACATGAAATATGAAGGTGCTTACACGGCTTCACACTGACAGCTCTCTTTTTCATAGTCGAGGGTGTGGTTGCGAGGGATTAATGAACTTCTCCTTCGCTCCGAGTTCAGCTGTTTTCTCAAGTCTTCGTGTACCAGCCTGTTGCAATTATTTAAATTATGTAACCGGTGTCCGAAGAGTTGTCGATCACCAGGTTCAGCCATGGCATGTATATTGTATAGTTATTTTGTTTAAGGTCCACTTTAACACATCCATTTGTCCCCCACCTGGAGTTAGTAAGGATTGATTGAGCGATAGATAATCAATCCTAGAAATGCTTTGTCCTATGTGTCAAAACAAACATGGAGGCTTCCAAGAAAAAAATAACAATAATAATGGCAAGGCAAGTTTATTTGTATTGCACAAGTCATTCACAAGGCGACTCGAAGTGCTGAACAAAATAATATAGCATTAAAATCATAAATAATCACAGTACATTAAAAAGAAAGATACAAATATAAAATCCCTCAGTTGTATGCACAGCTAAACAGAACTGTCTTTAACCTGGTTTTTAACATTGTCAGAGAGGAGGCCTGTCTCACACTTTCATGAAGATTGTTGCAGATTTTAGCAGCATGAATCTGAAATGCAGCCTCCCCATGTTTAGTCCTGACTCTGGACACTAACAGGAGTCCAGTCCCTGTGCTCCTCAGAGTCTGGGCTGGCTCATATGGGACTAACATGTCACTAATATATTTTGGTGCGAGGCCATGGAGAGATTTTTACACAAGCAGAGCTGTTTTAAATTCTCTGAGCCACAGGAAGCCAGTGCAGAGACCTGAGGACCGGACTAATGTGGTCGTACTTCCTGGTTCTAGCTAATATATGGCGCCTTACAAAGACGTCTTACAAAGGGTACCAAGTTAAATGCAAAACAGTTAAAAGCAAAGCACGTAAAAAACGCACTGGAAAATAAAAAAAAGAGAGACAACACATGGCTGCAAACGCAATCCAAAAGTTTTGCTCTGAGTGCAAAGCCTGTATTAGAAACATGTGATTGTTTGGCTACGAGTTGGGGTCTGATTCCAAAGCTTTCTGCAAGGACTCCGGCAAGGAATGTTGTCCAATACGGCATTAAATCTATGAAGACAGTCAGGTGATGTTGTGAGGTAAATTGCAGGTCAGCTGTTTGGAGAGGTGAGGATGTGACCAGAAAACAAAAAGACTTGATTTACAGACATCACCTCTTTGGAGCCAGTGCTAGGCCTGTCACAATAACTTATTATGATGCATTCTTGCAACAGACGATACAATTAATATCACTGATGAAAGAGCAAAACGACTGGATGATCCCATTAAAGTATACATTGCATTAGTAAGTCAGTATTTTATTTGTTTAGCGCATAAAGCTTTCTCCTCTCCCTCCACACAGTGATGGAAGCAAAGTCGCCATACAGGAGGTGAATGTCGGACCTATTGTACGTGTTTTTAGTGGTAGGGAAAACCGGAGCACCTGGAGGAAACCTATGCAGACACTCAGACGTTATTGAACTATTAATACGTTTATATCACAATTATGAAGGCAGGCCTCGCAAGTGGAAATCCTCCTACAAAAATAGAGCCGTTCATTTTTATTATTCTTACGGTTTCTGTGTTTGTGTTTTTATTTTTGTTTTTCTCCTATATGTCTGTGTATATGAAGGGATTTTGTTTAAAAATACAAAAATTATATACTTTTATACATGAGGTTTGAAAAGTGAAGGCTTGGCAAGTATATTTGTGCAGCACTATTCATACACAAAAAAAACATTTGAAGCATAAATAATCACAGAACATTAAAAAGAGTGAAGATAAACTCCTTCAGTGTTATGCACATCTAAACAGAACTGCTTTCAACCTGGATTTGAACATTGTTAGAGTAGAAGCTTGTCTCACATTATCAGGAAGACTGTTCCAGATTTTAGCCATACGTAAAACTGAGGCTTGTATTAGTAGGCTTCATTGAGAACCCAAAAGGTCCAATATGCAGGATAACATATGTTTTACTGGACTCCACCACACATGGACTCTGTTTTCTTATTATTGCATGACAAAAAAATCCTAAACAAACAATATAGGGATACGTTTTTAGAGAATGGACCCGAGCTGCACAGGATGGTGGGGCCGGTGTAATGGCATCCAGCTGGAGCCATTAGCAGAACGTACAAACACTGGCCTTTTCCCTTTGCTCCCACCTTTCACTCTCAGATTGGGGCTATTGAAGCGCTCCGCGGCGCTCGGGGTGTGTGGTCTCTTTAGAAACACTATACCTGCATGTGTGCCCTGAGTAAACATCTTTGACTGCATGGAGCCATGACTTGACACAAAAAATGCAAATAGCAGGATGCCAGTGTCTCTGTGTTTGTGCAGTGTCAGTGCTATAGTATGTCATATTTTATAGTGGTTTGATGGTATGTGAATAAAAAAATCTGTAGAAATCTGTGGGATGGATAAAGGTTGTCTTATCTTATCATGTCTAAGAGCATCACAGAACTGTTGATTTGCCAATAACACAAACACACTGCAAAAAAAGATAAAATATGATGTAATAATTGCCTGATAATTTTTGAGATAAATAGCTTATTTTATCTTGATTTGACTACATTCTGACTGACTTAAAACAAGATTTCTCAATGGGACAAGCCCTAACTGTTGCTTTATTTTCTCATTCCAAGGCACAAAAGGCAGTCACATAAATATTGCCAAATCTTTGACTTATTTTTCAACACTTTTTGCAATAAAACACCCAGTTGGTCCGTAGGATTGCAGGATAACCAATGTCCATCAAAGATCCAGAAAAAAACGTATGAGGATCAGAAATGAGTTCCTTTCTGACTGCTTAACAAATGCATTAACAATCTGTGATCATTGTGTTTTTTACAATTCACAAAAGTTGAAGCTCTAAAGCATATCCGTGGAAATTCCCAAAGAATCAACCCTATTTAGTACCCAACATAGAACAGGTAAAAGTCTTGAGAGCCCAGTGCTTATTTCTCTGTGATGATATAAAGTTTAGGGCAACGTATTCAGTATCTTTGTTAGCCTTGATATCCCCAATCCCAGGCTGAACCCAGTGTCTCGGCCACATCTGTCTCCTGCTGAGCTCCCGGTGTGCATCTGGCTTTGGGAGCAGCTGTTTGTCCTGGTGGTTTGGTCTTGTGGAGATGCGGCCCCTAGGTCAAAAAACCCACATCATATTGTGCTTACGACCCAGTGCGCTGCTGTGGTGACCGGGTTGAAGCCTAGACGAGTGGCCTGAAAGTGTGCTAATTGTATGGTTGTGGCCAAAGGCAGGCAGCGGTTGGTTTAGCATTGCAAAGGCATTGATGGAAGGTTTGGCTTTTTGCGCCGCTGTAACCCGTGATCATGGTGGATCTATAAATGAGCATGTCTCTTGTTTAGTGCTTGAATGGATAACAGAATCTTCCCACGACCGCAACTGTCATGCGACTGCCCTAAAGTTTGTGACTCAGCTATATTTGAAAGCTGGAAGGCAGGAATTTACATTATAAAAGCAAGCAGTTTCATACAATGTCGCGTTTAGGTTACTTCTAATTCTACGGTGATGTCCAAACAAAACGCTAAAATGTGCCGTTTTTGTGTGTGTTTTTTCTTGCAGTGGAACCAGTAGACCTCTTGAAGATTTTAGACTTTCACAATTTACCGGAAGGAGTTACGAAAACAACAGGATTTTGCTCACATCGGCGCTCAACACAAGGACCTGATGTTGGCTACCGAGTGTCTAAGGATGCCCAGCTCTCTGCCCCCACCAAACAGCTATATCCAGGTGAGTTCGGCTTTGCCTGCCCTTGAATACTACACACCAGACCACCCTTTATCACCACGATTTATCCCCGAGCTCCTATGGGGGAAATTCCAAGATGTTCCAGCGTTTCCTTGTATTTCTTTATGTGTCTTTGAAAGCTCCCCATAAAGGCAAATCTCGCACCACTATTTTTCCCCAAGCTGACTTCATGATGTAATTAGCCCAATATAAACACAACTACACAACTCCTAAATACAATGCGCGTATGTATATTTAAGTGTTCTTGTTAAGAGTGAAGATAAGATGAAAAGACCCCAGTAAAATGAGTGGAAAAGCAATGAAAACAGAGGTGGGGTGAAGGGACGTCTGGATATCCACTTTCGGCCTGGTTCTATTGTGCTGACGTGGCTTTGGGTTACTGCTCCTCTCCTCCCTCCTTCCCCTCCTTCCCCTTCTTCTTCTTCTTCTTCTTCTTTTCTTGTCTTTTCTCTTTTTTTTTCCCTCTCAATTTTTGTTCATTCTTATCCGCCGCCGCCTCTGGTCTTCTGCATGGACTTCTCGACATAATCTAAAACGGTAGCCTCAGTTTAAGGGACTGTTATTGTTCCTCTGGCTGAGAGAGATAGCTCTGGTGCTGGGCAGACAAGACAGGAAGAGGACGAGCTCCATCTTAAGCCGCTCAAAGGTTATGTTGGATAGTTTCCCCCAGACGTTTTCACAGATGTAACTTTGGCCCCGACTGGACCTTTGATGCATGTTGCGGCTCTGCTCTAGACTTTAACTCAGAGCTTGTGGAGCTGGCATGTTTTGTCATGCTCTTCAATCAAACAAACTGAGTTCTCTTTGAAGCCGGATGACACCACAGTCTATATGAGGCGGCGAGATAAATATGCTGTAATTACACACACTCTTCACGCCGCACACACACACACACACACACACACACACACTCTTGTGGATCCTACCAAATAACAGTCTGCTATGCATAAAACAAACCAACGCCAGAGTATATTTCTGGTCCCAGTTGTCTCAAAGCAGTTTTATATTAGGAAAGTTAAATTAGGAAAAGCTTTCTTGCAGAATAAAGATGGTAAGATTAGTTTGTTTAGCTTTTGGTCTGTGTGGCCATAATTAACCAAAACAGTACTCTCCAACTTCTCCAATGGGTGCCAATGTAACCCCAGTGTGTCACCAAACCACAGACTGTATGTAGAACAAGGCAAGCCCCCTAGCTTGATGAAGCCCAATAGGGAAGTGCTCATGGCTGAAGTCTTGCTCCAGTCTTGCTCCTCTATCTGGCTCTCCTATGTAAAAGTAAACTCCTCTCACTCAGAGATCATTTATGTCACACTCACGCCGCACGGATATTGTAACCCAGATATGAGCCATGTAAGAATTGACCAATCAGATGCCTTCAAACACGAGTAGATCTCCAGTTTGCCTTAGCAATCATCAGTGTGACACATCTACCTCTGTGATGGCGTGAGGCCAACCCTATTAGCTAACAAATGGACATATTCCTTGGCTCCAGCTACTGTAGCTTATGTTCAAATCGGCTTCTTCCTTATTCGGCTAACACTACGGGGACATCAGCCCTCAGTCAGTTCAATCCTAATAGATGCTCTCTGCCGCCAACCTGCCGATAGAATGTGATGTGTGCATTATTGTCAGTCTACCCCAGGGCAGCTGTGGCTACAATAATAGTACAAGCTAATATATAGTCCACAGAATAGATTTTTAGACAAATCTAAGCTTTGACAATATAATGAGGTTTTGTGATTGCTGAAAACACAAATAACAATGTTCGAAACTATTGTACAGACCTATCCAGAAAACAATAGCTGCAAATTTATAGAGATTACAAATATAATAGTGAAGGTGTTGGTTTTACTTGCTCTCACTCTTAGATTCCAATCATGTTGCTGGAATCCTGAATCAGATGTTTACATATTTCTGTTTAAGAGAAAACGGATGAGACCTTGCACACTGCACATTGCTTGCTTTGTAACAAAATATGCCTCCCCAGGCAAATTTCTTTTCTTGTCCGCACATTAAAAACTGGCATATAGAGTGAATACAAATGAACTATAACGATAATGCTTCATTTACCTTTAGCTGTGTGTATTAAAATCACTGTGATGTATTCCAGATGACTAGTGAAGCTATGAAATCATTTTTACCCATTCCCCTTAAATCATGTTTGCTTCTGAATTACGACTTTGGCCTGCAGCCCAGAGTTACTATTTGGCTAAATTATAAACGCCATCATTTAAGTGAATAGCAATAGCTTACGGATACACAGAGAAAAAAGGGCTACTATGTAAACAAGCGTAGTTTTTCTGTTTGGATCCGCTCGGTATTAGCAGGAGCTCCGATGCAGAATCAAAGTGCCCCATGACCCTAAAGCCAGTCTGTAATTATGTGTTGGAAAAGTGCAAGAGCAGACATGCAATCATTAAGCAAACACATGGAAGAGATGATTCATTTCAATCTACCAAGGATTGGAAACACTAGGCACTTCTCTGAGTATTTATTGTACTGTAAAAATAGAAGCAAATATCCCTCATACCAAAAAAACAGAAAGCACTATTTCTGTGTTGGCTCATGTTTCTGTTTGCCTCATGGAGCACCACGGTCAATCATCTGCAGTCATCAAGCGTGAGGCTCCTAATGACACTTTCTCTGCCTCAGGTCTCACAAAGGACACCATTACACACCTTACGAGCCAGTCGGTCCTCCATACTGATTCTGGTTCAGTTTTATTATCGTCACAACTGTTTTTGTTATAGCAGAATAATGCATTTGTTTAGTGCATGTTTTAATATGTTATGTAAAAATCAGAATATTAACAACAATTCAATTCAATTTCAATTCTATTTATTCTTGTACAGCCCTAAATCACACCAGTAGTTTTCTCAGAGGACTTGACAAAACCGTTGAATTCGCCCAACACAGATCAGAGAAACAACAGTTAAGACACAAAAAATACACATATGAGTTGGTCCATAGGGAGAGACCAATGTCCATGAATGTTGATAAATGTCCATACATGTTGTAGAATGTTAAAGTGTCCTGGATAATCACCACAGTCCTTCTAGTTGGACACTATCTGCCCAACAGGAAAAACTCACAAAAACCCAGAGGGGAAAAAAGTGAGAAACCTCGATGAGACCCACATATTAAGAAAGGGATCCGCTCCTATACGGACGGACGGGCTATAGATCCATGACCTTAGCTACAGAACGTGGACCAATGCCACGCAGCGGAGGCAGAGCGTGGACAGGTCCGGTGCAGGACTGAAGCGCTTGCAGGCGGGTCGGGCAGGGCAGTCCGCAGGTGTAGATGGAGGAGGCCAGGTTCAGAGGTCCCGTTGTCGCGCCATGAAACAGACAATGGGACAACGGGTAGATCACCAAGGTCCATACATGTTGATAAAAGTCCATACAGTGTGTCCTGAATCATCATCACTGCCTTTTAGTTAGACCCAGACAAGTGACCAACAGACCCTCCTGCATCGGCAAGGAACAACTCTAAAACCCAGTGGGAAAAGTGAAAAACCTCGGGAGATCAACATTGAGAGAGGGTTCTGCTCCCACGAACGGACGGGCTATACTGTAGATGCAGGACTGAGGCTACAGAACGAGAACCAAGGCCACGCAGTGCAGGACTCAGGCAGCATATTTGTTCTTGTCAAATAGGTTGCCCATAAAGCCCGGCTGTTTTTCCCCTCTTGAGAAGAACACATTTTGACAGCAGAGGCCCTGATGACAAACCGTTCTGTGCCCCACTCACGTCCAGTGATATTGACAGGTTCTGTCACAGAGCTGGCGTTACTTCTGCTACTGACTGGGAACAATTTTCAATGTTTTCAGAATAAATGAGGCATGTCGTTTCTGACAGAATTTCACCTTCCAGAATGTATTTGTATGTATTTCCAGACAATTCAGGTGGTTGGTAACTGACCCGGCATTCCCACAGCATTCCCAAACATAGAGAAGGAATGAGCTATCTGTCATCTGGTGGCCTGGAGCACAGGTTGGAGAAACACATTCCAGAGTAACCTGAGCCTGGTGTAGTGACCCCTCCTGCCCTCCTCAGGACTCTGGCCTCAGCAGCATCAGCTCTGATCACAACATGTTTGTCCATTAGAAGTGTCAGAAGAGTACAGTATAGGATTTACAAGCTCATTGAGGTGTTTTTATATAGTAACGCAAATCTCTCGACTCAATTATTGAATCCCTTTGAGCATTCGGAACATAAACAAGTTTTTAATTCAACAGTGGAGACAAGGAGCTGCTGCGATCCAAGCTAATGTAAAGTGCTTCTGAAAGGTGCTTCTGAAGGAAACAGGGATCAAACATTAATAAACAAGTTATAATCTGTAGCCACCTCCAATTAGGAGTGAGTGATATGGCCTAAAAATCATATTGCGGTATAATTTGGGACACAGACGGTAAACGGTATATATTGTGGTATAATTTGTTGTGTGAATTTCAATAGGTCTAGCAGGTTCTTGCATAAAATAGTCAAGATTGTTAAGTATTTAAAATGTCAATTTTAGAGCTGGATAATGTTTATTTAGTATTTCCAAGCGTGTTGCAATCTGATGACAAAATGACCAATCGCAATATGCCGGTATAACAAAAATCTCTATCGTTGGCCAAATTTGTATCGCATACCGCTTATACCGTTTATGTCGCCCAGCCCTACCTCCAATAAAGGCTTTTTATGCTAGTGCCTGAACTTTTTTCTTTTCTCAACAGTTATTCACATTCACAGTTAATTTGACACAATCTAATCACTATATAAAACGATCAGCCGTGAGTTAGAAATAGGGTTAAAAGAAGCTTGTACTGCGTGGCTCGTGTATGGTTTAATACTTGATCCGTCTGCTTTGTCCGACCTCAGGTTTCCATACCACATTCCCTCAGAGGCAGCTCATCCTCCGCAGCCTCTGATTGGCTGCTCAGACGGAGTTGTGCCAAAGTTAAATTTTCCAGACCGCGGTAAAGCAGGAGTTTGATGACTGCATGAGGTGCAACAAAACCACTGCAACCACAAATCTTACTTTTCAGTCCTGGAACTGTCTTTTTTCTGTTAAAGGGACGATATTCTTGTGATCTGAGTTGGCGCTGAAATCAATCTGTTTCAGTTGAATTTCTTTCTGTTCATATTAGAGCCATATTTTAAAACCATCTGCTCTGAGCTGAAAATATGTAGGGTATTGGATCAGTACGCACAAAGATTTGGAGAAGTTCAGGTGCAGCCAGCAGTATAAAAAGTACATTCACACCTACAAAGCAATGATAGCATAGCACAATAATTCAATAAACTTTCTGACAATAAGTTAAAAGTGAACTAAAAAGAGTTAAAGCTGCACTAACTGACTTTGTGATTTCGAAGCAGCGGTTTCAAAAGTTCAAAAAGGCCTTGCTCTTTCTCCTCCCCTCCCCGCACCCACAAAGCTATCACCCCCCTCTACCCCACACCCACTGTTGTTTACGGAGCTAGCGTCTCACAATATGGATCGCACATTCGCACGTGGATGGCGTGACCATAGAAGGATAGAACCGGGAAGCGCGGAGAGGACGAAACTTTCTTTTGAATGCCTGTTTTGCTGTGTAAGCAGAAACCGGTAACGAAGAAACGGGGAGTTTCAGAATCATAGCTTATATATTAGTAGTGGACTAAACAAGTGCTGGCATCACCATAGTATTAGCCTGATGCGGAAAAGGCCGATTTGAACATAAGCTAGCTGGAGCCAATTTCCGTATATGGGCGTTTCTTCCCCAGCGTTATAGCTTTGCGCCGTAACAGGGACAGATTTGTTGCCATGACGGTTGCTAAGGCAAGCTGGAGTTTCCCCATGAATGGAGGCATCTGATTGTACATGGTTCATGTGTGGATTTACAAAGACTATATTAAGACATTAACACCAGGATTATAGAGAACGCTAAACCACGGATTGGTGAGTGTGACACAAACGGTTACTGATCAAGAGGAGTCTACTTGACCTTACCTAAATATAAGTCAAAAAGAGCCAGAGAGAGTTGAAGGCAAACTTTGTCCATGAGCACTTCCCTATTGGGCTTCAATGAGCTACGGTAGGGCTGGGCGATATGGCAAAAAAAAAAAATCTCCGATTTTTTCACACCAAATCCGATTTTCGATTTTAATCGATTTATTTTTTTCTATTTAAAAACAAACTACAACTGACAAAGAAATAGATTTTCCTTTATGCAGTTTAATCTAAATCCCCATGGAGCATAAGTGTAACAGGAATTAAGCCTTAAAACATGCTTGTAAACGAGATGGCTCTGCCATTGTAAACAGTGAAAATGTAGCTTAACAGTTTTATAATAACTTCACTTACAATGACACTATGCACCTTCAAAATAACTTAAATCACACAAACAAGGCCCATCGCAAATATATCAATCCTATTAAACACATGCATTATTTACATGAAATATCACATTTTTAAAACTGATTACTCAAAATAGAAATGTTGTAACAGTCTTTTCCAAAAGCCTCCTCTGGTTTTCATGCTTGTTCTTTCAACTGTGCCTGAGTAACTGTGCTGTAGTACAACGCTCGGTCCAGCTGGTGGCGCTAATACTAACTTCAGTGACTCCCTGTTTACATTCTGATGCTGTAGCTAGCAGCTACTGTAGCTAGCAGCTACTGTAGCTAGCAGACAGCGGGGAACACGTTGTTTGTATCAGAGCAATGAGAGCAATGTGTGAGACGTGTCTTTCCCCAAAGTGCAGCGGCTCAGGGGGACACGAGTGTGTGCGCGCCACGGACACGGGAGTGCGCTTTGGAATAACGAGCGTGAGAGAGCGTGAAAGATGTGGCGTACGGACATGGCGTACGGACATAACGACCGGAGCCTGCGTGCGTGTGTGTGTGTGTTCTGGCGATTTAAATAAAGTCTGATTCTTGAACGTTTGAAGTGTTATTGCAACAGCACCAACTGTGAGAGCGAGCATCAGGCCAGAGGGAGACTGTTAGCATTAGGTTAGCTTCAAAATGACTGCTCAACACCATAGACCCGCGGTTAGCGCGTTAGCGCTGTAGTTCTGCGCTGGAGAAAATAAAAATCGAATTTTTAAAAAAAGAAATCGCCCTAAACGTAAAACTCGAATTAATGATTAAAATCGATTAATCGCCCAGCCCTAAGCTACGGGGTTGCAGACTGTTAGTCATATACAGTCTATGGGCACAATGAGACTTGAACTTGAACTCACAGTGCTCAATTCTTCCATCTTGTGCTTTGTAAGAATCTCTACAATTACAATATGTCTTCTCTTGTCTGTGCTGTAGCCATCGTAAAAAAAAAAAAAAAACTAAATGTTTAATTCATCCTTTGTGTTCCAGGAGATGCTTTCCCAGAAGACTTTTCCATCTTGGCCACAGTGAAGGCAAAGAAGGGAAGCCAGTCGTTCTTGTTGTCCGTGTACAATGAACAGGGCATCCAGCAGCTGGGACTGGAAGTTGGCCGCTCCCCTGTATTCCTGTACGAGGACCAAACTGGCAAACCCAGCCCCGAGGACTACCCGCTCTTCAGGGGAGTCAACCTGGCCGACGGAAAGTGAGTGATGAGGCATTCTTCTGTCATCACAGTCAATTCAAAATGGTCCAAAGGAGTAAATGTTTTCCCAGTGGCGTGGAATCAGCGCATGTCTTATCTGCTCAAGACATCTTCCTCGAGTGGCTGTTATTCGTAGACACAATTTCAATTAATTTTTTTTTGTATGGCCCTAAATCACAACAGTATTTATCTCAGAGGGCTGTACAAAAAACGTTGATTTGCCAACGCAGATAAGAGAATAAAGCAGTTCAAACACAATACATTGCATTGATAAAAAACACATAGAAGGATTGGTCCATATAATTGTTTCATTTATTATTAAAGACAATGTGCAGTTATATTATGTGGATGACCAATGTCCATAAATGTAATGCAAATTTTTTTTTTTTTTTTCATTTGCAGTAAAACCCCATTGGACAAACTGTGCAAGACTTCCCCAGTGTTCACCAATGTTGATATTGTTGAGGCGAGAAAAAGTCTTAAGCCTTACTTTGCACATACATTAAAGCTGGGGTACCTAACTCTCCCCCCCACATACATGAATAATACATCCTACAGAAAGACTATTGTAAAAGTTTATGCTTGTGAACTAATAATATCACAACATTCTGTCTTCACCTTAATAGAAAACATACTACTGATATTTTATTACTATAATAAGGAGTTGGGCTGAGAGCTTTCTGCCGGAAATTAGCAGATGTAAAGATTTGACAGAGAGTAAAAATACATGAATGTGAAAACTAGTAATGGAACTGTTTTGAAAGCGAGGACATAGTTAGATGGATTTCCTTACATAATTCCATTTGTAGTGGTTTAAAAGTAAGATATCCCAACTTTAAAGGACACATACAAACTGACGTTTTTGTGCTGGCATATCTTATAAGAAAGAAAATGTGCCTGGAGTGACTGGGCTAATTTCCCACATTTGTTTTTGCTAAACGCCCAAAAAATGCTCCATTAAAATGTTTCCCAGATAGTAGCGTAAAAGCATCAACAGACTTGTGTTGGCAATAAACACATGGTTCTAATAGCTCAGCCGTCACTCTCTGTAATTGCAGCATTTGTTTCCATTGTTCATTCGACAAATAAGCACGTTCTCATTCGTCAAGATGACCCAATTCATCTCAGCCACAAAATTGCACAACCTGTAGTGAAAAGATCTTTGAGTTTCAATGGGAATTGTTAATGGAAGGTAGAATAAAGATGAACATGTGTGAATCTTCTCTACCACTTTTGCATTTCAGAGTTTTAGGCCCTGTCCACACAATGTCAATCCAGTGTATTCATCCAAACTAAGCCTGCATTTTGTTGGGTCTGAAAGCGCACATTTTGAGCGTTCTAGTGTTCACATTGTAACGAAACACAACAGCACAAGTTCTCCACAGTCCCTATTACATGAGGCATAAATCGTGAACATTAAAAACAGGGAAAAAAATAATTAAAGGAGCTATACCCGTTTCTACAAGGTTTGAATGTTTAGCACCGCCCCCCAACTCGCTCACAGGCTTCTCATTTCCCCTACGCTCTCATTCCATGGAGCCATCTAGTTTTATTTGCGATCTATATGCAAACATTAGCATGAGCGCAACTTCTTTCAACAATCACTGATGAAATGGTAAAAAAGCAACGCACTGCTAACACAATATATAACTGAAAGATTACTGCTAGTTCCGAAATGTAATCCGAGCATAGATAGTCCGAGGCGGTCCCGCAGGTCTCTCCCATAGACAAGTCTCTCCAGAGGATACGATGTAAGCTAGCTATGTTCACCCGGGCTTGATTTCTTCTCTGATCATTTTTTCGCTTCAGTTCCCTCTCCTCTTCCTCACTGTTGTGCTGTTTGGGCGGTTTTGCTGTGTCTGCAGTGACAACAAGAGGAGTTATAGCCAATTCTGCTAACATGCTACTGTGTTTAGCAGCGCTGTAGAGGCTAGAGGATGCAGCCTCGTTCTGTGATTGGAGGAGAGCGGGCGTCACGCTAAAGTCTCTACTCAGCACTTTTTACGGCCTGAATTCATTTTTGATGAAATTACGGATTTTAATACTTGTATGTAGTAATAAGCATTTTTATGAACTTATGAAAAAAAAAAATGGGTATATAGCTTCTTTAACACGCATGCACAACTCTTGAAGCCAGTGAACAACTTCTCTGTGGTGATGATCCAGGACACTCTAATATTCTACAACGTTTATAGACGTTTATCAACATTGATCAAATCCCCCTTTGGACCAATGTCTATGTGTTCTATATTATTTGTGTTCGAAATGGTTTGATTCTCTGATTTGTGTTGGCGATTTCAACGGTTTTGTTAAGTCCTCTGAGATAACTACTGTTGTGATTTAGGGCTATACAAGAATAAATGAAATTGAATTGAAGTGATATTCTCCAGAAGTGGGCATGCAGATTTAACCCTATCACGGAAGTAAATCCCCCATTGAGTCACAGCGCCACCTGCAGGCCTGGCATAGTTTTACACGGTATTAACTCCATTGATATGGACGCAAACATTTACTAAACTGACTCCATGTTCACAGAAAAAAAGTTTATGTAAGTTATTTGACTTTGTGTAGATGTAGGCTTACACCCAGACTATAAAAAGTGTCAATGTCTCTGGCTCTGATCTGACCTAATATGGTGTTTTTTCAGGTGGCATCGAGTGGCCATCAGTGTGCACCAGCAGACCATCACTCTCATTTTGGACTGTAAAAAGAAGACCACACAGAAACTGCTCCGGAGCCCCAGCCCCATTATCGACACCAAAGGAATTATAGTGTTTGGAACTAGGATACTTGACGAGGAAGTTTTCGAGGTAGGCATCTCTAATCACAATTATAAATCATTACAGTATTTGATGAAAACTGCACGGCTCATTTCTGACTTTTGCTTCTCCCTGTGGCATTGTCTAATGGGACGCTTCCTGTCACAGTGGAGTCCTCGGCCTCATGGAGTTTGGCAATGGGGGAAAATAGACAAAAATGCATTGAATTTTGAGTGTGTGTGTGTGGAGAGTGGCACCGTTATTAAAATCAAATCAAAAGGGAAGAGAGTGTGCTGGATGTCTTGTGGGCATTTTAATGAATTATGTTAGAAGATTAGATCACAAATGAAAATTCCAGCCACACAGTCACACCCATGACTAAAAGTGAATACTGATATTGTTACACCTCATTGTGGCTTCAGAGGAATTCTCTTTTCATCAGGTGTGTGGTTTTCTTGTGTATGTAAGCTCCTTTTATGAATAGACAATGCTACGTCTTAACAAGCGTTGACGAGTTTTTACATATTTATTTGTTGTATGTTAAAGAAAGGGCTTTCCCAATTTTTTTTGTCATACAGCTAAAGGATTAAGATTAAGAGATCCTTTATTCACACAGCACAAGGTAAATGAACACGGCATAGGATAAGATACATTAAAACAGACCTATACTAAATAACTTTATACTAAACTCTCTACTAAATACAATAAAATCTCTAGCTTTAGCATAATAAGGAGCACACTGCAAAATTGGCTAAATTTATCTTCTTTGAGCACATTCTGACTGCCTTAAAACAAGATTTGCCAAAGTTAGCAAAATTATCTTGTTTTAAAAAGATACAAGAAAAGTGTCCCTTTGAATAAGAAAACATTTTCTGACTGTCTTGTTTACGTAAAAAAATACTTGATTCAAGCAATTATTACCTCATATTTTATCATTTTTTGCAGTGCAGTTTATAATTTGTAATAAGAAGCAGAAATTAAGTACAAAATCTCTGACTTTAGCGCATTAAAGACACAAGTATAAAGTATTGCATATTCTTGTGCAGAAATGTATAGTTTTGTTGCTCAAAATGTCATATCTCTCTAATGCTCAGTAATTTATGGAAAAAGTATTCTGGTCCTGGCTTCAGAGTGGCGTGTTGTGTACGTGTTACACATGAGACATCCGAGGCAAACACACATGTTCGCTTAAAGAAGAACAAGGAATAGCATTGTGTTTGTGCCGTCAGAGTGCTGCTTGTTTAAAGGGCGATTAGTCTGTGAGTCCGAGGCCCTCAATAATAATTAGTACCAGCGGCTGACTGATGTGAGTGATGCAGAGCCAGCTGACCCTTCGCCTTCGTCCTGCTGAACTCCAGTGCGCAGCAAGAATGTCGCATGACATCACCGGGCATTCTCGGTCATGGACTGTATGATGGCGCAAAAAACGTGATTGTCGACACAGGTTCAGTCCGTCATAAACAAAGACTGTGTAGACCAGGGGTGTCCAAATGTTTTAGTAAGAGGGCCACTTTAGTTCACCAGACTAGTCCAGGGGCTGTTCTGAGCTTTAAAATGATCTATAACAGAGCTGAAGTTGGCTGAATGATAAATGTTTACCATCTCACCAGCTGCATTAGCACCATTTACAGAAGTTTGTGACACAATCAAAAACCACATCCTCACTGTAAGTGCAAATAACGTCAATGACGTACTGGGCTTTTGAACAAGGTCTATTTTGGCTGAGCTGAAGTTGGATGGATGACAATGGGAACTTGTGTTTATGATCTCAAAGACTACTTTGGGTTAGCATGGCAGAGGGCCACATACAATGACACTGAGGGCCGCAATTGTCCCCCGGGGCTGAGTTTGGACATGTTTACAGCTATAGACTGTAGAAGGATAATGAAAATCCACTGAATTTGCTGAATTTTGCATGAAATTGCTCATGGACAAAGTTTTGCACCTACTCGCTTTAGATCCATTTCGTTTACATTAGAAAGTAAATTTTTTCTCACTCCCCATTTCAGGTTTCAGAATTTATGGTTCACTGCTCTGTTTTCATTTCAATATTGTCTTATCCAATTATGATCTCTAACAACTGACCAATCAGGTGAAATTGGCTTAAGCTAGCAACAAGAGCGAGCAAGACTGACACGTGGTGAAATGAAAAAGAGGAACCCAAATTTCAGGACTGAACATAAAGTGTGATTTAATACAATAAATCCAAGATAATGCAAAAACAAAACATTCCAGATCTGAAAACAAGACAGGAAAAAACTTGGTGGAGACAATGGACGGAGGGGGAAAGGAATGGGAATAAATACACAAAGGTAGACACACAACAGGTGAATCATATTTAGGGCGGGGCAGACAATCAGTAGGACAGACAGGAAGCAAACTCAAAACTACAAGAGAACAAATGTATATCAAAATAAAACCAGCTCATAATAATAAAAAAGTCCACACCATGAAAAAAGACTTGAAAAGCGCTGCTCCTGATTGGACTCTTTGGTTGCTAGGGAGTTGCTACCCACAAATTTGGTTTCAGATTCCCGCTCATAGAGTCTGCTTGTGCTAGCTCGGCTTCTTCCGCAACAAGGCAAACACTATATCAGTAGGTTCTACAGTCTATGGTCATGAATGATGGTTCTGGTTGAATGCAATGGTACATACAAATCTTGGCTGAATAACAAAACGCAAGAACAACACTGAAATTTATTGTTGTTGTTTCAAACTGAGATGAATAAATGTTTTCTTATCTACGCTTTGATATTTGACATTTTTTCCGGTCCACCTGCAGTCTCTCCTGCCTTGTTTTATATAATTTCAGGCACAGTACAAGTGCTGCACACCCCACAACTGTTGGACATAAATTGTATGGTGTGAAAAGTGTATGAAAAAAAGGTTTTACCCTATGCTTTATCCAATTATTCCCCTCCAAGATATGATATTAAAACAAGTACATAGTTAGCTAGTTACTGTGGGAACAGACAGACCGGAGGGGTGTTTTAAGGGCTCCTGCTGTGTCTGCCAGGTGGGAGGTACAGCTGATTCCAGTGAGTGAACTAAATGGAAAATATGTTGAGTTGTTTTCAAACTGAGGTTACTTTTTTCTCTCCCCCTTCACTCCCTCGTATAAAGTTTTCCTTCCTGAAGATGATTGTGCATGAGACAAAGCTCGTTTGTACTTACAGAAGCCATAGGATCTGCGAGTGCCTATGGACTGAAGTGGTTTTGTGGTTTAGTTTCTGTAGCCACAGAGCCGTCTCAGACATTACACTGCAAAAAGTGATGAAAAATAAGTCATAAATTGCTCCGATTTTGCTAAATGTATCTTTATTTGAGCACATTCTAACTGCCTTGAAACGAGATTTGAAGTAGAAATGATGTTGTTTTGAAAATATACAGTACAATAAATGTCTCCATTGCACACTGGGGTAGTCTTGCACAGTTTTTCCAATGTTGTTTTACTGCAAATGGCAAATAAATGAATCTGAATCTGAATCTGGAATGAGTCTTAACTTCTTCCCACTCCTTTTCTAGCCGGATTTTTGTTGATAAAACAAAACATACTGTATATTTGTATATCATAATGTATTGGGTCTCTTGTTGTTTTGTTGTTGTTCTTTATTCTTGTTTGCCATGGCTCAAAATAAAATATTCATGCATTAATTCATTCAGAGAATAAAGTCAAAGTTCTCAAAATAAGACTATTTGGTTTTGTCCCATTGGCAGATCATGTTTTAAGACAGTCAAAATGTACTTCAAATTCAGGTTAAAAAACACTCAATTCAAGCTATTTTTACCTCATATTTCCTCCTTTTTTGCAGTGTAGCTCTGGCGTGTTCCCAGTGTCAAGCATAACGTGTTCTCGCCCGTATAGACGCAGTGTAATTGTGGTGGGGATGATTTGAGGAGAAAGCTTTTTCACCTGATAATGGTGCGTTGCGAGTGCTGCTAAAGTTACGGCTTTATAATGGCACCACGTCTTTAAATATCACTAAACAACTATTATCTCTTCATTATAACGGCAGCCAATGACTTATTATGTTTAAGTGTGCAGCAAATATGGCTTTATAATGTGTTTTATTGTTTGTGAAGGGATTAGTGTGACACGCCTGATTGGATTGGAGTGACGAGTGTAAGTTTGTGAGTATTTACATGAACTGCTGTAGTTAAGCTGTTACACTGCAAAACATGACGACATTTAGTCTTGTTTCAACGGTTGATTTATTTTCTATTTTGTTCTTGCGCCAAATAAATAAAGATTACTTACTTACTTGCTTTTTTCATGCACAATCTCATTTCATGCAAGATCATTTTGCCTGTAACATCGGCAAATCTTGTTTTAAGGCATTCAAAATGTGCTCAATACATTTTCCCAAATTTGAGCCATTTTTCACTAAGTTTTCCTCACGTTTTGCTGTGTAGTACCTGCGTCCAATAGTTAATTCTAATATTGCTTACTAGATTCAGATTCAGTTGCCGTTTGCAGTAAAACCACATTGGAATACTTGTGCAAAAGTACGCCAGTGTGCACCGGACAAGTATATGAATAAAAAAAATAAAAATGCAACTAGATAGTACAACCTACTACTACATATACTACTACAGCTAATACTGCTACTACTACATATACTACTACAGCTAATACAGCGACTACTACATATACTACTACAGCTAATACTGCTACTACTACATATACTACTACAGCTAATACTGCTACTACTACATATACTACTACAGCTAATACTGCTACTACTACATATACTACTACAGCTAATACCGCTACTACTACATATACTACTACAGCTAATACTGCTACTACTACATATACTACTACAGCTAATACCGCTACTACTACGTACAGTATACTACTACAACTAATACTGCTACTACTACATATACTACTACAGCTAATACTGCTACTACTACATATACTACTACAGCTAATACAGCAACTACTACATATACTACTACAGCTAATACTGCTACTACTACATATACTACTACAGCTAATACAGCGACTACTACATATACTACTACAGCTAATACAGCGACTACTACAT